ACACTCTTTCCTCCAGAATATTCCCAGAATCACATTGTAGAAGTAGAGAATAACTAAAAGTGAAGAGGAAAAATATTTGCTTTACATTATTTATAATTTTTTTTTAATTCTCAAACGAGAATATGTTGATGAAAATTGTCACAAACCTTCATTCAAGTCTGATTTGACAAGATATATTCCTTGTTTCGTGTTATNTATAAAGATTATTTAAATGAACAAATACTGTATAATGTGATTATTTGAATGTGACTGTCTCGTATCAGTTTTAATCCCAGAATCACACTCTTTCCTCCAGAATATTCCCAGAATCACACTTTTCTTCCTGAATAACTTCCAGAATCACACTTCTTAGTTTAGAGAGCTCCTCACTCAGAATCGCATTTAGGGTGCCTAGCCTGGAGTTACGTGAGCAACAACACGAATGTATTGGGAGTATCACGTGTCATGTTATAGTTTAGACCTTCGAATCTAAATCCTATTTGGTTGTAGGTACTAACAAAGAGAGATAATGTGATCTTGTTCGTCGAACGAATACAAATCTAGTAACGATATAGCAAATTTAAGATAATGAATGTCATTAACAATATCAATGAGACATACTTTAGTAGTGTTCGCTATTTTCAAACTTTCGCTTCTGTCTGTATTGATGCTCATTTAAAAACATTAAGATCATCATTATTAATTAAACCTATTCGAGATAGCATTATAGGAAATCATTTGTAAGAAATAATAGACCTTTTCCTTTTGTCGAAAATTTCTGAAATTTTGTAAGAAGGTTTGTGTATTAAGTAAAAATATTTTTAGATATTTTCAAGATAATCGGACCATTGATTCGGGAGAAATGTCTTCCATCCCCTTAATATGCCATCTGAAGATTTAAAGGTAATGTTATCAATTATTAAGGATGTAAACAAATTAAGAATGCCGGGAAAGTCCAGCAACACGTTGTCAGGTTTTTGTTATTGTATTGTGACTATTACATATAAAAAAAAAATCTAGATCTGTGTATCTTCTGTATTCATAATTATGATTATAGTATGGTTATACGTCAAAATAACGCAAAAATAATAATTAACAATATCATAAACAATTTTTTTATTCGTAAATCTATTGTAATTCTCATTTAAAATTTTTAAAAAATGCATTTTATAAACATTTCTGGTATAATATACAGATAGTATGTAAGGATTTACTTATTATATTCATCTATTAAAGTTTTAACTGAATTTTTCTGAATAATCGAATAATGAAATTCACATCCGGTTTTTTATTGCTTTCTCTGCGATTCTTATAAACACGTCACAATATCAAATAGATTGATAGTAGTGAAGCAACTCAATTAATCAAAACAATTAATATACGACGTGAATTACAGTATATCGTGGATGATAGACACCTAATTTATCTATAGAAGTTTATACCTCAGAAAAGTATGAATTTAAAATAAATTAGAAACTGTCAACAAATGTTGATATCCTTGATATATTCGGATATAAACAACAGAAGAGGAAACAAAAAAATCCAACGAACTCCAATAAAATCATCAATAATAAACTCAAATAAAAATTCCAATAAATACCTGAAAATTAATAATAAAGTCAAAGTAAATAACTTTATANTTAAAATATATATTTTTTTCTGTTAAAGCATTCGGTTTTATAATAAATATTTTAGGAATTTAACAGGAAATATCACTTTGAAAGTAAAATTTATTTCTATCATAATTATTGTGGTATTTTAATTATAACTTCGATTTGTACTTTTATTAAATTAGATTTCAAGAATTAATTGAATATACGTGTATTGCTAACTTATAATAGACGCATTCGTTTAGTCAGAAGAGAATATAGACACTTTCATACAATTTTATATTATTTCTAAATGTAGGAATGACGTGAAAGTGTATGCTATAAGGTTTAATAAGGACGTTAAATTGATTTAAAATTATAGTGGTAAAGAAAAAGAAATATCTTTAATTAGACACTAAAGGTGGCAAAAGGTGGCATCCTGTTGTACTGATCTTTAAAAATTCGACATTTGGTAGGATTGGAGCAATGATCTTCAAACTTTTAATGTCAATAGATCCATTATGCTTGATGATTATTTTTGCCTGATTTTAAACAAAAAAGCTTAAAGAAATAAGTAGCAAATGAAAAATTTTACAATGCTATGTTTATTTCCCAATAAAATAGACTATTGAAGTATAGTTTTCGTATAATTAGTTAAGGTACAATTTATAAATTCTAATTTCTTTTATATTATAGAACAGTTTCAATATTACTAGAGCATAAATTACAGATAAATTTAACATGTTNTTCTTATGTGGACATCTGAAGGTCCTCGTTTACGATATTCCAGAAAGTTTGACGCAATTTTGAGCAATTATTGTAAACATTGCTGTAAAGACGTACTTGTTAACGATGCTTTAATTTAAAACACATGTAGAATTTATTGCATAAAGGTATTAAAATGATACTAAAATGTATTGGAATCGAGTAAATACAATTAAAAGGTAATTTTCTTAATCGAAATTGTATAGTTCCTATAATCATGGCAATTTTGGGGATATGCAGAGGGAAATTTTAATCCCGGAAATTTCGGGGTATGGGAAAGAAAGGTTTTAGTCCCAGGAACTGAGATCCTAGTTAATAAAACTAATATTTTTATTTTTCTATTTATATTTCATAGGACATTTCTTATAAAACATTGTTGAAAGTTAAGTGATTCGTACGTCATTATTTAGTATTATTATTATTATTATTATTATTATCATAAGTGCAATTATAAACGAAATATGTTTACAACTAAACTTATATAATATTTATTACATTATTAAATTGAAACAAATCTCATAAATTTCTAAAACATCATTATTTTGAGTACTACTGATAATTTTTTTCATTTAATACAAAATTTTTGTAAACAATTTATATTTCCTTTCATGTGATATTTCTTGTGTTTGTACCTCAATGCCTCACTTGAGTCCATACTTTTCTGTACAAAAATTGTTTTAATCGTGTGCTTTACTATTCCTTAAACTTCCACGAGTTCTGAATCATCCTGTATACGCTCTCCACCTCAAATTAGTAATGTCTCCCCCAGCACAACAGACGTTTTCTGTTAGCGATAGTCATACCGGTCATCAACCTAACTCGTTGCATGGGGGAATTTTTGAGTTGAAGTCACATGATTTCTGTTCAATACCGGAAGTTATATATAATTAATCGGGTCTCCTGCATCCAAGCTTTCCATATATAAGCCCAACATTCATCTATCTAACTCAGTTCTGGAGATTAAGAAAGGACAGACAACGACAGTGGGAATTTAGAGTCTATAATTTTTACAAATTGCAGCACAAAAATTGATATTGTATTCATAATGATATTCATATGTTCAAATTTTTGTTGGTAAAAATTTGAAAAAAAAATAATCTGATCGATGATTAATCTTATTTTTATGACAATTTACATACGAATAACACAGAATATAATCTAGTTTAATTNTGCATGGTCAAATTCATATTTATGCAGAGGCAAGAATAAAAGAATATTGTTGTTGTATGATTTCATATTATGAACAATATAAAGATAGTGAAAGAAGTTGAGCATGTTTCCTTATCTGGGTCAGACATTTTTGGATTGCCAGTGTGACTTCAGTGTCAAAGAAAAAGTAGGGGCGCACTGTATACTACGAGTTTTCAGAAAAAACCTACATCAATAAACAACCTGTGTGTTTTCAGAAAGCACAGTAGATACAAGTAGCAAGCAACAAACTTAGTCATCTCTTTTTGGTCTCTCCCCACGGCGAAAATAGGGTGGCAAGAAGTAAATATCGTCAACAGAGGAAAACCAAACAACGGAAGTGTTCAACCATTGCTATAAGATGGGCTACGATGGCTTCCATTGGCTAAACTACAAGACATTCGGAAACTTAAGACCGACGTTCCTGCTCAGTACCAAGCATATTATAAAGAATTACTAGTAAAGCAGAACACTCCGAGAAAGCTTCGAAGGCTAACTTTAATGTATAATTATTTGTGTTTTTCAAACAGTTGTTAATTAAGAAATACAGTTTCCATTATCAATCATTCCTTAAACAGTAAAGTAATCCTATGAAAATTTTTGTAAGTTTACATAGATTTACATTAATACATAGATTATGTAAACATAGATTTAAAAAAATCTATGTTTAATTTTATTATATTAAAATTTAAATATTTCCCGTAGAGATCCCGGAATATGCCATTGCAAGTTGTATTCTTGCTATAGCTGTGGTTATATTATGTATACTTTCATTATTTATTTATAGGTAAGTTGACATAAAATTTATTAATATATTTTTTAAAATAATGTAATTTTTAATTAATTATGTATTGTATCCGTTTTTAATCATTTATAAAAGAAAATCCTCAATGAATAAAATAGTTTTGAGTTATCATTCATGTAAATATAAATTAATTACCGCATTATATTAACATAATGGTATATACTCATAAAATTTTTGGAAGCTGACATAATTCAAAATTATTTAAATTAAATGTAGGCGAAATAGGCGATTATTTAGGCTTTATCTCAAGATAGAGATGCAAGAATCAATGAAAATACAAAATAAAATGCTAAACTTAAAATAGTAAACTAGCTTTCAAATGCTTCTGGGGACATCAACAATGATATTATCTAGAGCTAGAACTGAAATGTATTTTAATCTATGAATCTACTACATTGCAAACTATAATATTATACCAGAACACAATTAGAAATATCAATCTCTTAGTTAAAATAAAAGTTAGTTGATTTAATCTACACATTAATTTAATATTATACAATAATATTAAACTAAGAAGTACAATTTTTATATTTTGAGGGATTGAACGTTTTACATTGTAAGGATTCTTCTGGAACCTTAAATTGAGGAACGAGTGTTTCAGAAAAAGATATAAACAAGCGTATATTATACAATTAATTTCTAAAATAAACACAAATAAATTATTTTTATTATAGACATTTCAAATTAGAAGCAGAATTAGCATCTATGACTTGGAGGATAAGATGGGAAGATATAATGTTAGTCCCTAAAGGAGATAGGAAACGTCTAGGATCCAGAATGAGTCTAAATCGCATTAGTATTCCTGTAAGAATAAAAATAAAATATATTATTTATTATAATTTGATAAATATTTGAATAAATTTGTTCTAAATTTTATTTTTAATCAGCCTCTATAAGCTAATTGTAATTTTAAGGAGCACGAAAAATATCGAATTATTAGCATGAATTTGCTATTTTATTAAAAATTAATAAATCAAATTAATTTACTAATAGCTCAAAATTTAATTTATAGAGTTCTTATTCAGCAGAAACTGCTATGTTAGGTGATATCAACAGACAAGTTTTCGTTAACACCGGTTATTATAAGGTGATTATTTTAATTGATTATTTATTAATTACGCAAATGAATACGAAAAATTATTATAATTAGATTATTCTTTTAATTTAAATGTTTAATATTATAAAACTTATATTGTATTTAGTATATAAGTTATTTAAAACTTTAATTTAGAATTTTGTCTTCATAGGGAACAGTTGTAGCCATAAAAACTATTCATAAAATTCGTATCGAAATATCAAGACCATTATTAATGGATTTAAAAAGAGTAAGTGATTTATAATATTTTATGTTCATGTGATAATTTACTGTATTGTTATATATAATAATTTTTTATTGAAACGTTTAATTGTTAAATATAATACTTTTCCAATTCATCGAGGTATACAAAACGATTTATACAATTGATTTTAGTAAATCGTATATTAATGAAATATTAAACAATTCAAAGATTTTCAATTCAATTTTTGAATGTTTCTCAATTTTTCATAATTATTTGCTCGAATGCATTAAGCAGCTTGTCAAAATGAATTGTGATAAAAGTTTCTATTTTTGTTCCTCAATTAATTGCTATTAAATTTTCAATTTACAACTATTTTTAATTGATAAACGCAGCATGCATAGTATCATATAAATATTTTTATTTTTGGGCTGCAATTTTCAATATTTGTAGACCTATCAATTCCCACTGATGTCTGACTCTCCTTTCTTAAAGTCGAGAACGGAGTCAGATAGCTGCAAATCGAGAACAGATATGAAAAGCTTGTGGAGAGGAGCCACGATTCACTAAATACGAACTTTCGGTTTGAACTGGAAGTCACGTTATTTCAATTCAAATATTTTTTCTTGAATGGAGTTAAATAGATGACTGGCATGATTCTATTATTACCAGGAAAAGCATGATGTACAGGGGCAAGACACTATTAAAATTGAGAGCATTGTGATAAAAAATTGCAGCCTGGCATTGTGACGATTTAGCCCAGTTTATTTTCGAAACCAAATGCATTCTTGCTTAATTATTGGAATTTATTATATATTAATTATAAAATTTATTTAATGGTTGAATAATTTAAATGAAAAATTTAAATTTATTATACAGTTATTATTATTCAATAATATTTAATTATTCTTCATATTCATTCATAATAAATATTTGTAACGATAGGAATTATAATAATAAATTAAGGCTTATTTATAATGATAAAATGTTAGTTGTTAATCATTAATAATTAATTATCAGAATATGAATAGGCTATTGTGAAACGAGAAGTAATAAATCACTAACTTTAAAAATAATAAGAGAAGATCCAAGAGATTTCCTAAAATTTTCTTTCATTTTTCAAATTCATGCCTCATTTTCTATCACTCATGTCTTTAATTTCTGAAAAAAAGAAAAGAAATTTCATTCTATTTTATATTAAATGAGTCTTGACGTGCAAATGCCAAAATTTTAAGAAAATTTGTAATAAATAAAAAATGACGAGAAGTCTCATTTAATTTAAAAATTGTAAATTTGCTAGGTACTTAACGTGTAAGTATCTATTAAATAAATAAAACTGTCCTGAAATTGTTTATTTATTTATTGAAAATGTTTGTAAGATTTAGTCTTTTGTATTACAAATTTGTGTTTATTTTTAAATTTATAAATTCACTTCACTTAATGAAAGTTTATGTTTAAATACTACTGATGTTTAAGATTAGAAAATTTATGTTAATTTTTGACTCATTATTTAATTTTAAAATCTGATTGTGTGACTTCTCCCAATATGCCCACAAAGCCTTAAATATAACAGAGAGAATATTTCATTTAATATTTACATGCAAATTTCGGCGATATTCAAGCAAATATCTATATAAGTAATGCCTTTTAATATTCTCACTTTTATGTATCGGAGTTAATAACATAACCCTTTCATTTGAGGAAAGTTGTTGATAAATTGCTTTAGAATGACAATATTATCTTGTTTTAAAAGAATTGATTTGGATATAGAACAAATATAAAGGAAAAAACTTAATTCTAATATGCCTAATAAAGACTTTTTCTACAAAATTGGATTATTTTTGTATAAATAAGCTGAGGAACGAAGATTCACATTCGAAGATCAGTGTTGAAATGAGAATTAATATCAAATAACGTGGAATAGATAGGTAATGATTAAGTGATTAGAAGAAATTTTTTTACAAATTAAAAGACTTTGTCTTTTAATTTGTAAAAAATTAAGATTTATGTTTCGAAAGTACGATAAAGTAGAATATAGAGCGGGATTTAGTTATATAATATAATTAATAATATTTCAAATGAGTTGGAATTTAGTACCATCAATGTCCTTATGCAATATACAACAGAAGGAAGAAGCAACGAATAAGTACCGTATCCATTGTAGTTTTTCCAAATTGTGTTCAAATGATCTGAATTTCGAACTAACACATTGTATTCTTAATGATAGAATTAAATAGTTTAAATGTCATTCATGTATGACATTTAAACTATAGGATTTTATATAGGATTTCATTTTATAGGATGAATTGTTATTCATCCTATAAAATGGAATAATTTATCTGTAAGTAAAGTAGGGGCAATTCGCTAAATATGCTGTTTCAAATTGGAAATAATATAACTAATCCCTAAATTTTAAGAAATTATATAAATTGCACTAACAAAACGAATTTTAATTAATGTTTACTGCAAAAAAAAGATAAGAATTTATCAAAGTATAAATTAAAAATTATACAAAATTACCAGAGATGTTAAGTGTATATTTTGTACTAAAAAATAAAGGATTAATTATGAATGCTGAAGAATTTATAAATACATTTTTCTTCACATTTAATAATTTGAAAAGTCGATGATGATATGAGTGACATATACAGAAAGAATGATCAAGATATTAATAGAAAATGATTAGAATAAGTGTCATTTAATACTTTAAATGAATGTTGATAGATAACCTACTTAATATGTAGCAATAATGAATCAATTATAGAGTTTTAATTATTGTTATAAATTCCGCTAAAACAACATATAGTTGATCATTAATTTTAATCTAAAATTATTCATAAGGTAATTATTGTCAGATTTCAGAAGTTTTTAATCCCATTTTTCTTTGCAAAAAGCAAAGAAAAGTAAAATTAATGACATCGTCAGAATGCCGGGCTGCAATTTTAATCATTTTTTTTAAAATTTATTTAGTTTAAAATACAGGGTAATTTAGTAAACTCATGCCACAAATTTTAACGAGGTAGTAGAGAACACAACAAAAACATTTTTTTTATACAGGGAAAGTATGGGCGCAAGTGAGGCGTTGAGGCACAAACACAAAAAATAACACATGAAAGGAAACATAAATTGTTTACTTACAGCAATGTTTACAATAATTGCTCAAAATTGCGTCAAACTTCTTATGGGGACATCTGAAGGTCCTCGTTTACGATATTCCAGAAAGTTTGACGCAATTTTGAGCAATTATTGTAAACATTGCTGTAAAGACGTACTTGTTAACGATGCTTTAATTTAAAACACATGTAGAATTTATTGCATAAAGGTATTAAAATATGTTCATGTGATAATTTACTGTATTGTTATATATAATAATTTTTTATTGAAACGTTTAATTGTTAAATATAATACTTTTCCAATTCATCGAGGTATACAAAACGATTTATACAATTGATTTTAGTAAATCGTATATTAATGAAATATTAAACAATTCAAAGATTTTCAATTCAATTTTTGAATGTTTCTCAATTTTTCATAATTATTTGCTCGAATGCATTAAGCAGCTTGTCAAAATGAATTGTGATAAAAGTTTCTATTTTTGTTCCTCAATTAATTGCTATTAAATTTTCAATTTACAACTATTTTTAATTGATAAACGCAGCATGCATAGTATCATATAAATATTTTTATTTTTGGGCTGCAATTTTCAATATTTGTAGACCTATCAATTCCCACTGATGTCTGACTCTCCTTTCTTAAAGTCGAGAACGGAGTCAGATAGCTGCAAATCGAGAACAGATATGAAAAGCTTGTGGAGAGGAGCCACGATTCACTAAATACGAACTTTCGGTTTGAACTGGAAGTCACGTTATTTCAATTCAAATATTTTTTCTTGAATGGAGTTAAATAGATGACTGGCATGATTCTATTATTACCAGGAAAAGCATGATGTACAGGGGCAAGACACTATTAAAATTGAGAGCATTGTGATAAAAAATTGCAGCCTGGCATTGTGACGATTTCACAATAAGTAATTGCTCGTGTTTAAGAAATATTCTTCGACATTCTGTCAAAGTTTTCCATTTTTGTCTCTATACTGTACAAACCATTTCAGCTAGCAATTTCAGCATCTTGATTTTACATACTTCCATTCTTACATATACATAATAACGTGTAAAATACTCGAATATACTTACAGTACCAAAAGATCCTCTGTATCTTCATCGGACTTTATTAAAGCAAATTACAGATAGAAAGCAAGCTGTTTAGAGGTAGACAAATAAGCCTTCATCTAATGGTACATTTATTAATTAGAAATACATAAATTATATTTAGAATATTCTAAAAGATCCGGTCAGAGCAGACTCGAATCCGCAACTCCTACTAAACGTAAACTTGCGTTGCCAGTTACTTTATTCGAACCAGCCTGTTCTTCACTTGCACAGCTATTAATTAATTCAGATATGTGCACTTTTAAGATAAGATAATCAATTTTACGGCCGTAATTAATTTAGTACACTTTTTAAAATGTGAAAATGATACATTTTACTAAACACTTTCGATAACATAATACATTTTGTTTTAATTAAAAATTAAATCAAACATGTTGGCGTATGTTTACATAATAAGTAGTCAAAACTATCTATCCGGTTAATTACATTATTCAAATCTTTATATCTTTATTTATATTTATTTAAATCTTTAAATCTTTATTTATTTATGAATGTGACTTAATAATTAATTATTGCAATGTTTGGAATTATTTACTTTCTGTGAAATTCTTATGCTTTTCACGCTAAATTTTATGACACTGAAGGGCCCGGTCCTACTGTGCCTATTTAGAAATCTGGCCCTGCAGATGAATATTTTATGATATTTTTTGATAGCGTAACTGGCAACGTATCCGTAAGGCAAGTAAAAGTGCAGTTTCCAGTGCTGCTCTGGACCAAGCTTTTCTTCGAAAATATTTATTTCTAATTATCAAATTTACCATGAAATGGCAACTTAACCTGTAGTCAAATTGCTCTGTATCTGACTATTAACTTTAATGA